TCACATATGATTTAGATATAAAGATTTTAAAAAATCCAGCTCCAGTAGAGGCAGCAAATTGCTATGTCACTGGATTGTCCTAAAGATGGACAATTAAAGGGCTGATTAAAGGATATGAACCAGAAAAAAAGTACTCTAACCAAGAGGATAAAATACAACTCCAGCTTCATGGAGCTATGTTCTGAAAGTCCTTTCTCTCTGTTATTTTATTTCTTACTGTTTGGAGGTAGTCCAGATACTTAAAAGGCAGAAGCAGGATATAAAGGAAGGTCAGAGTGCTGCTCTTGTTAGCCATGGATTGTGTCATGAGTGGTCGGGATGAGTCAGTGCTTTGTGACACCGTTGGACGAGGTGAAATTGTCCCCAGGCCTTGAACAGTGTGAGGGAACAAGCACATCCCCATTAGATAACTCCGGATTTCTCAATATTAAATACTTAGGAACTGCCATAATCAGTGTTTACTAAATAGAGATGAAGATGGAGCGTGTAAAGTATTAGTAGAAGTTCTGCCTGTGCTTAACTGTATATTTTGCAATTATTAATTTTTTCCCACTTGCATAGCATATCAAAAATAATGACTTAGCATTATAGAAGCTTCCTGAGGCAAATTTCTGTGCTGTTAGTATTTTTCAAGGATAATCACTTAATTATAAATAGTTTAGTTTGGCTGTTATTAATGATAGAAAACATAACTTGGTGACATAATTCCAGATCGTTACCTGTAATGAGTCTGAATTCTTTTGTGACCTATTTAATTTGATAATTACGTCCCCTAGCCTACTTTCAAAACCCTCGCCTACTTTCAAATGCACATAATAAATTTAGCAAGGATTAAGAAAGGATAAAATATTCTTGGGTTACTACCAAAGAGAGGCTCAAGGCTTAGGAGAATTTGCCTGTGTAGGTCTGTTAACCTCATTGTCAGGAAATTAACATTAATTTTCCCAGTAGCACTGTAATTTAGAATCCCCAAAGACTTTACTTATTAAAAGGAAATGGTGCTCACTTAAGGTTCAGGGAACAGGCTGTCTAGCCTCAGTTACCTTTGCGTCATGTATTAGTTGTGTGACCTCAGTCTCCTCATCAGTTAAATCAGGATACAAATAGTTCCTGCCTCACTAGGCTGCTGAAAGGATTAAATTAGATATGCATGTAAATTACTTAGCACAGTGCTGAGATAAAAAGAATCCATGGAATGTGAGCTATCAATCTGTATATTCTGAACAAAGTTACAGAGAAAGTATAGACTTCAGGTGCATTTAAAGCGGGCTTAAATTTGACATATGAAATAGACATGATACTTTGAAATCAATAATAAATATATTGAAGAAAAGCCCATCTTTGTATTGTACATGTACATTGAAAGTTCAGAACCATTTACCCTACATGGCATTTCCATTGACCAGAATGAAAAAAGCGTTTAAGATATACTCTTGTTTTAAATTCTATTTTATTGTAAAGATGCTGTACAGAGGGGTCAGTTACATGAGTAAGGCAATGAGTACATTTCTTATCAAGCACTGCAGACTCCTCCTTTGTTTCCCCTTACCATCCCTTCCCCCCGCCCTGCGCCTTCCCTGCGACCCTCCACACTACTCCGCCCAAAGTTGTAAAGTTTGGTTTTTGACATAACGACTTGTATGTCTCATTGTTGCGATGGGTCCACCTGTATCCCTAGTTAAACGATTTGTTTTTGTCCTTCCCATCCACAAATTATACCAATATCAAATACAGTGAAAACAGGGGTTATACCATGGGGGAGGGACATACAAAGCAACAAAGAAATCATGTTATAAATATGTTAGAAACAATCGCAAGCAAGAAAAAAAAACATTTGAATCCTTATTTTGGGGTTCATTTCACCTAACATCACCTTATCTGACTTTTTCTGCTTGACTCATACATATACTAGATATTGCAAATAAGGGAGACCATGGGACCTATGTTTCTTTGGGCCTGGCTTACTTCACTTAATATAATTTTTTCCAAGTCTTTCCATTTCCTAACACATGGGACAATGTCATTCTTTCTGGTGGAGGCATAGAATTTCATTGTGTATATATACCACATTTTCTTGATCCATTCATCTACTGAGGGGCATCTGGGTTGGTTCCATATCTTAGATATGGTAAATAATGCTACAATAAACATAGTTGTGCTGGTAGCTTTAGTATGGTCTTGTTTGTAATCATTCGGGTAAATGCCCAAAAGTGGGATTACTGGGTCATAGGAGAGCTCTATGTGGAGTCTTTTGAGGAACCTCCATACTACTTTCCAAAGTGGTTGAACAAGTTTACACTCCCACCAACAATGCAGTAAGGTTCCCTTCTGTCCACATCCCCTCCAGCATCTGTTGTTATTAGAGTTCTTGATTATAGATAGCCATTGTAACTGCAGTGAGGTGGTATCTCAAGGTTGTTTAGATTTGCATTTCTTTTATGGCTAGGGTGGTTGAGCATTTCTTCATGTGTCTATTGACCATCCTTCTTTCCTCTTCAGAGAAGTTTCTCGTTAAGTCTTTAGCTCACTTATTTATTGGGCAGTTGTTTCTTTGAGGATTTGTTGTTGGGGGATTTAATTTTTTGAATTCCAGGTATATTTTAGATATGAGACCCTTGTCCATTGTATGGTTAGTGAAGATCTTCTCCCAATCTGTGGGATTTCTATTGATCTTGTTAGCTATGTCCTTTGCCATGTAGAAGCTCTGCAGCTTCATTCAATCCCATTTGTCCAACCTTTTTTTGATTTATTGTTTTTCTGGGTCTCTATTAAGAAAATTTCGGCTTGTGCCAAGGAGTCCTAAGATTTCTCTTATTCCATCCTGTAATGTTTTCAGATTGTCTGCTTTGACTTTGAGGTCTAATCCATTTGGAGTTGGTTCTGGTGCAGGGTGATATATAAGGATCTAGCTTTAGTTTTCTACAAGTGATTAAGCAATTTTGTCAGCATCATTTACTGATCCTTCCAATCCAGGAGCATGGCAGGTTTTTCCACTTTCTAACTTCTGTTTTGATTTCCTTTTTCGGGTTTTTAAAGTTTTCATCATAGAGGTCCTTCACCTCTTTGATTAAGTTAATTCCTAGGTATTTTATTTTTTGTGAGGCTATTATGAATGGAGTTGCTTTCCCTGATTTCAGCCATGCTTTTCTCATTGTTGGCATACAGAAAAGCCATTGATTTTTGAAAGTTAATTTTATACCCTGCTACTTTGCCAAAGTTTTGAATCAGCTTGAGTAATTTGGGAGTGGAGTCTGTGGGATTCTTTAAATACAAGATCATGTCATCTGCAAAGAGGGAGAGTTTTATTTCATCTTTCCCTATTTGGATCCCTCTTAAGTTTGCCTCTTGTCTTATTGCTATAGCTAGGCATTCTAATACTAAATTCAAGAGAAGTGGAGGGAGTGGACGTCCTTGTCTCATTCCTGAGTTAAGAGGAAGTGGCTTTAGTCTTACACCATTAACTATAATGCTGGCTGTAGGTTTGTCATATACAGTCTTTATTGTATTGAGGAATGTTCCATGGATTCCTAATTTTTCCAGAGCCTTCATCATAAAGGGGTGATGCATCTTATCAGATGCTTTTTCTGCATCTATTGAGATAACCATGAGGTTCTTATCCTTGCTCTTGTTGATGTAATGAATAATATTAATTGATTTGCATATATTGAACCAGCTTTGCATCCCTGAAATGAATCCTGTTTGATGGTGGTGTATGATTTTTTTGGATGAATTGTTGAAGTTGATTGGCCAAAATTTTGTTGAGAAGTTTTGCATCAGTGTTTATCAAAGAAATGGGTCTATAGTTCTCTTTCTTTGATGAGTCCCTGCCTGGTTTTGGGATGAGGGTTATGATGGCTTCATAGAATGTGTTCAGTAGTGAACTTTCTCTTTCAATTTCATTGAAGAATTGGAGGAGTATTACTTCACACTTTCTTGAACATTATGACATGTATCTCTAGCTTTGATCCAGGTACCCATATGTCCATGTACAGTTCACCTACAGCAGCTTGTGCAGGTAAAGAAATGACAAATATATTATGTCCTTATGCTTTATTCAAAAAAGCTGGTAAAGGAGGTAAAATGAAATCATGTTGCCAACAATGAAAACTCTTTATGATTTTTTTTTCTCAAAAAATCCTTAAATCTTTCTCACTTTATTTCACATGGATATAAAATCTAGGCCTTTGTGTGATTTTCTGTTTTTATTTCTTTTTTCTTTTCCAAAATGTACATAGAAGGAGACCTCATGGTGCAACGGTAGCACATCTGACTCCAAAATGTACATAGGAAGATGATGCGGATAGTTTCTCTAATTATAGACATGCTAAGGGACTGGAGGTCTTGATAGCACTATTAGATTGCTTTCTTATTTTTGCATATTACAAGGGTTCAAATCTCTTTCTTAAGAGTTCAAACCGCCACATTTTAGCAAAGCAATGCTGGTGATACTGATTTCCCTGTACCTTGGTTGTTAGCTCTTCACACTGGCGTAACGTTAGGGTGTATCAAGATTAAGTATTTTAAGATTTGATTCAAGTTGAACACTTAGAATATTACCTTGGATCTAGTGAAGAAGACTTTTTTTCTGTATAAGCTTAACTGTAAAGTGGATAAATGTATTTTTGTGCTGGTCTTGCAACTTGAATTTGGTTCATAGGCACTATTTCAGAGCTTTTTGCTGAGAGGTAGAGCTCCATCACGTGTCACAGTTCTATTTTGGCTTTTTGGTGGTTACATAGACATAAGTTTCATGGATTGGGCTGCCTTTGAACTTGAACTCGTTCTATCCTCACATCTTAGCCTTCTAAATATCTAAGATTATAGGCATGCCATACTAGTGCCCAAGAACCAAAATGATTTGTACTTCTACACTAAAAAAATATAAAGCCCATTAAGAAAATATTTGTTTAAAGTACAGAATTATAGAAAATAGATATGAAACCATGGAAATTTCTAAAATGCGCAGAAGATAAGCTTTTCTTTGTTATTTATTTCAATAGTCATTCCCGAGTTCGTAACACAAGTGAATGTCGCCTTGGAAGCCTTAAGCAAGAATTCGTTGAATGTGTTTGATGATAATCAATTTGTAGACATCTCCAAGAAGATCTATGACACCATTCATGATATCCGATGTTCGGTCATGATGATTCGAGTAAGTTTGCTTTACATTTTCTTGAGTTATTTCCACATTCTTTCCCATCTGGAATGCCTGTAATGATCACAAGAAATGTTTTATTTCTATGCTGTAAAGCCAACACTGAAATCCATCAGAGCTTCAGAAATTCATATGCATCCCTAAAGTCAGATCTACTGTCAAAAACTACACCTTAATGCATGTGGTTTACTATAACTTATGCAAATGAGCACATTAAATGTAGCAAGTGCAGAACGGATAGGATTCCTGTGTGCAGGTGTCTCGTAGCATGTTCATCAGCCAGTGAAATGGACACAAGAAATCTGCATTCCTTCTTCTAACAAATGGCTCCTCTCTTTCTCATCACCATACTGGAATTCATAAGAAACCATGTTAGAGAAGGCATTTCTAAAACTAAACTTGTCCATCTTAAATGACTGACTCAGAGATTGTTCTGCAGCAAATCTTACAGCTGCTAGAACAGCAAATGCTTGAACTGCCCCAGTAAGGGATTGTTTCTAAGAAAAGATACATTACATTCCAATGAGGCAAATTGCACCATTTGTTGTGAGTATATTGTACATTAAGAGGCCACAATTGTTTTCAGTGAACTATTAATGCATTCTTTAATGTTACTAAAATTGCAAATAATTTTCTTCAGAAAATGCAGAGGTATCTTACTGTAAGATGCACTCATCTAGAGGTGATCCCTGAGGTAAGGATTTGTACTTTCAATAATCTATTTAGGAGCTAGTGGGACTCAGAAGTGAGTACAGGATGGGAATGAAGCCAATAATGAGCCACTGCAGGCAACCAGGTCTTGATCCTGCTGCTTAACTTGGAAGGTACTGCAGAACACACTGCAGAATTATTCCACCTGAGGTGAACAAAATCCGCAGATTTATCCTCCTATTCATCCTTGGTTAAATGCTCCCCTTAGAGCTGTCACCTGGGCCACATGCTCAGAGCACATCAAGCTTTTGAGACCAAAGAAAGCCACCCTCAGGCAGGGTGGCAGGTGCTTGCAGTGGAAAGATTCGGGAGGCCTGGTGTGTCTAATTTCTAAGTACAAATTGAGTTTACTTTTAAAGCTTCTGGATTTAACTGTTAGCAAGCCCATGAGACAAAACTAGAAATGCCAAGATGGTGTGTGGGTAATGCATCAATGGTTTTTGAGGGGCCAGATGTCACTGGTTTTCCTGAGCCCTCTATAAAAATGGGGTCACTTGTGGACTTTATAAAGTAAAGGGCCAACAGATATCAGGAGCCTCACAGGACAGATGAGAGATACTGAAAGAGAAAGGCAAAAGGTGTCAAGCATTTTAGGGTTTGGGGCAATCTGAATGCAAACCCAATTGTAGATGTCAGAGAGAATATGAAGATGTATATGGATAGTTCCTTGCTAATGATGATTTATCATTTTCTTGTGATGCAGAGAAAATAATACCATCCTTCTAATTTTGAGTTTTGAGCTTTTCCTGGGCTGGTGACATATGGCATGATGTTTTGTTGCAACTAGCTGTTGCATTTCCCAGCCACCCACCCATCAGGAGTCCACATAGCTGATGGTCTACAGTGTGGATAATCTGTGATGTTCGGTAGATTTATTAAATGCATTTTCATTTCATTTTTTTACTTCCTCTTTCAATTTGCAATGGGATTGCTGGGTCTATCATAAATTGAGTAGAATCTGCAGAGATAAGTTTATATTGAGGCAGTTAGAAACGATGGCAGTATACCAACACTGTATCAGAACAACAAAGAAACCATACCAAGTATTCTTTTTTTTGTGTTTTGTTTTGTTTTTGCTCTTGCAATGCTTTTTATGCCTTACCTCTATGAATGAGTGAATTAGGGATAACACAATGTTGAGAAGGTAGGTGGATCCCGGAAGGGACCTAAAACACATCAAGAAGATGCATGATCTGTAGGATATGGTAAGCTCTTCACTTTGCCTGGCTATTTGGGAAGGTATACCAGCAAAAGTGCATATAGATGCCAGGGTGGAGAATATATTTTTTCTGAGAAAATTGTCTAGGTAATGCAAAAAAATTATAACTTTTCTTGAGTCCCAGTATTTGAGTTCTTATTATCAAGATGGCTTATGGATAGCAAATCAAATTAGCTTGCCATTATTTCTACATAATCTTCACCTGCAGCAGTCCTCTGTCGGGCTGGAGAATAATTTATTGTAATTATTAATAGCCTAAGAGGGCAGTAATTTTTCTCTCTAGTCATTTATTATTCAAGGAAAATACTTGTGTCTGTTAACTTTTACCTCATGGGATTAATCTAGTATTTTGTGTTCTTTGCTAGTGCTTATTTAATTTTTCAACACGATTTTCAGAAGAGACTAGAAAAACCATATTTTAATTAGAGTCTGTCTGTGGTCAAATGAAGTAGACTTGTTCCTATGTGTTGCTTCTACCTCAATTAGACCTGACATTTGCTTATTCTTTTTCTTGTTTAAACCCTGGGATAATTGGGTTAGGAACAAGTTTTGTTTATTTTCGTTATCCTGCCATTGTATAGGTATTTATTCTCCATTTTTATGTTAATATCAGTCTTAAATTCTACTTGTTAAATTTCATTGTGTTTTAGGGCCTTTGATTCTGAAGCAGGGACTCTACCACTTGATCCACACCCTCAGTCCTGTTTGCTTTCATTATTTTTCAGATAGGGTTGTACACTTTTTGTGCAGTGGCTATTCTTGACCTTTGATCCTTTTCATCTTCTTTGGGGTAGTTGGGGTTTATAGGAGTGAACTACTATGCCTGGCCTCATTGTGTTTCCAAATGGCTCCTCACATCTGGTTGTACTCTTTGGTTGATCATTATACAAACAGCATCAGTTAGAAACCTGAGACATAGAGCTTACATAGATCTTTTATCTAGATTACTAATTAAAATATACATATAGTCACTTTGATAAGATTGTGGTCTCCATTTGCCAGCTCTGGTTAAGAGCCATTAGCGATAAGAGCTTCTGGAATCTGGTGCTATGTCTAGCTAGCATATCTATAAGCATATGATTTCAAAGAGTGATTTAAAATTTTTTTTGTGAGAATATTATACAGAGGAGTTACAATTACATGGGCAAGATAATGAGTACATTTCTTATCAAGCATTGTTGCCTCCTCTTTGTTTCCCCTTCCCACCCCTTCCTATACTCCCCCTGCCTCCTCCCCACCCGATCCTCCCCCCCACCAAAGTTGTAAAGTTTGTTTTCGACATAACGCCTTGTACATCTCATTATTGCAATGGGTCCACCTGTATCCCTAGTTAAACGATTTGTTTATGCCCTTCCCCTCCACAAATTATGCCAACATCAAATGGAGTGAAAGCAGGGGTTATTGAGACTGATAAAAGAGATAACATTCCTTTTTAGATATGCTTTATTTCCAAAAAAGATAAACTACATAAAAATAATGATATTGTACTTGAAATGATGGAAGAATGGAAAGAGATGAATCATCTCTGTTCCTCTGTCCCTGCACTCCAGTTTCCTGGGGAATGATGAGGGGGAATACCTTAGACATTCCTTGGGGGAAAGGCTGAACACAGAAGTGATCTTTGATTCAGGTAGATGAAAATGTCTATTCTTCCAGATTGTCCTTTTATCACAGAAGATAACAGAATTAATCTGGTGGAATATTTTCTTTGCAATGTCAAATTTAATGCTGACCAACACTATGGCCTGAGAACTGTAAAGCATTTGTGTTTTTCTGCTTTCTTCAAAGTATCTAATTAGCATTACTATTTAAACAGCACGTTTATAATGATGTAAGTTCAGGGAAAGCCAGTCTCTGTTCCTGAGGTCTTTGTCTGTGAATGTACTAGAATTTTATGTCTGAATTTTCAAGAGTGTTCTTCAATGCCCTCAAAACAATAAATGTCAGTTTAAGATACAGAATGTCATATGTTATAGCTGTATAAAATTTTATTATATCCATCTATACTCTGTATCATGATCAATTTTTGTGATAGCAGTTATTTAGACAGTTGGGGATGGTTTTTTTAAGTTCCCAAATAAATACTGTGATATCTGATATTCAGGTCGACTCAATATGTGGACTGAGAAGGAGGTAGTAAGCATTAACAATATCATAGTAAGGAGGTATTTCATTTGCATTCACTATATTGGGACAAATTGTACATTTATAGAGAGTCCACATAATAAAATGGCTAAAATAGAGCAAGGATCTCACTTGCTTCCAGTTTCCCTCTTTGGAAGCTAGAATTGATGTTAATCCTACTTCAATATGTTATTATGCTGATAAAATGAGCTAGTAGAAAGGAAATGGTTAATAGTACTTTGTCATTTAGAACTAGTATTATTTTAATATAGAGCTAGTACTTAACTAACTTGGGATTGCTTATTTTTGTACAATTTCAAGAATGTTCTTCACAGAAAATGTAGAAATATGCTTGGGTGCAACACAAAAGTAATAGTGAAAGAATAACAAATGTCCTAAGAAAAAAGTATGTTCTTTGACAAGGTTTCACTTATATAAGAAGATATGCTTATGACTGGCACACGTTTAAATGACAGATAATTTATTGCAAACTGTGCTTTTGAAACCATGTTAGTTTAATCTAGCATTATAATTTGGTACATCCCTTTCCATTTTGCTCCTCTCTCCTCAACATTACACATGCTAAGCAAGCACTCTACCACTGAACTATACCTCTAGCCAAGGCATATATTTTGGATATGTTCATTTACTCAGTGAATGTTAATTAAAAAAATAAAAAGGCAAATAAAATCAAGTTTAAAAATTACATACCCCTCCAGGGGCTGGTGGTTCACACCTGTAATCCTAGCTACTCAGGAGGCTGAGATCTGAGGCTCAAAGTTGGAAGCCAGCAAGAAAGTATGAGATTCTTATCTCCAATAAACTACTCAAAAAGCTGGAAGTGACATTGTGGCTCAAGTGGTAGAGCACTCATCTTGAGCAAAAGCTCAGGGACAGCACCCAGGCCCAGAGTTCAAGTCCCAGTACCAGCTATAAAATAATA